ATGTTAGATGCCTGGCTGGGTACGGTACCCATCAGGTTGAGTGGGTGATTTGTGTTGATTATATTTTCATGGGTTTCTATTTGGTAAAATATAGCTTGATATTTTAGGATCACTTTTGTGTACTGGATATCTAGTCTGTAGTAGTCACACGGGCTGATGAGGTGTGTTTTGGAGAAGGACGTTTGACTTTTGTTTGACTTTCCTGATCAGCATACTTGTTCCATGTCAGTAATTCAAACTATTGATCACGAGTCAGTATACTGTCACAGCTAGGTGTCTAATGTGTTCAGTTGGATGCCAGTAGGATGACAGTAAAGACAGCCTTTAAATTTCTTCCATGGCAGGTTCACTGTAAATCCTAGGTTTATTGTGCATTGGTACATATCTCTATTTTAACACACTAAATGGCAAAAAGCTTGGACACCTGATCATCACACCTATATGAGCCAGTTGGACATTCCATTCCATTCCCAAACCATTGGCATTAGTATAGTGGTTGAAAGTGCACTATTGTCTAAAGCAGTGGTCCTCAACCTGTATAACCTCAGGACCCACATTTGTCCTTGGTCATTAAGTTGAGACCCAAGTCGCACCACACCGGAATGCACGGCATTGCAGTACCGCATGTTCCAGTGCAAGCGTTCAAACTGTGGGAGGGAGGTGTATTTGGGGTGCCATTCAAATGAATTGCAACGCAACGCACCTCCTGCACTAGAATGAATAGTAGGTGCACTTGCGTGGTAGTTTGCGATTAAAACACACAACCACAGACACAATCTCACACACTCACAGACATTCTCACACACACATACACACTCCACAAACCAATATTAGTGGTTCAGTGTGGGTTGCTGTGCTGTGATGGAGCTCCATCTATACGTGCATTGCTTGTATAGCTCCCTTGCACTCCCTGCAGAGGTGGCGGGAGCCAGAATGTTTCAGAAAACATCACCAGCACACCAGATTCCTTAAAGGATCATCAATCGTAGATTTATTGAGAACTCATGCAACTACACAAGTGCTTTCGTGGCCACGCAGGGTCCCTTAATCAGACATAGCGTCCCTGATACAATTTGCAACTGGCGGCGCCATCCGCAGTCACTCCAAGCACTCTTCCCCGAGTGCTGGGTTTTACGGTAATGAGTGCAGCAGGCTTTCTTCATCTTCTTTGGGAGCCAGAAGGTGACATCACTACGGTCAGGCAAGGGATCTGTAAGCAATGCACATATGGTTGGAGCTCCCTCGTGGCCATACCTCCAGCTCACCCCACCTCAAGCTGACACTCGGCGCCGGGCAGCATATTTTGAATGGCTGCTCAGCACGAGAACTGACAATGCTTTGCTTTGGGGGAGGCAGAGGAGCCTCTCACCTAGTGCAGTGGAAGGCATGGGGCGACCCACTGAACATGAGTCGTGACCAGGGGCTGACTGGCAACTTTTAGCCCAGGGGGCAAGTACAACCCAGAGGCCCATGGTGCGGAAGCAGGTCTGGCAGTGGCAAGCATGAGGCAGGAAGGAGGTGCAGTGTGTGGAGCAAGGAAGGGTGGGCGGGACACTTGTGGGTTACAACCCACCAGTTGAGAACCACGGGTCTAAAGCGTGTCCATCAGGAACAAGCACAGACAGTTGTAAACAACTGACAGACGGTCTAACCCTTTCCTATGCCCTCCAAATAAAAAAAAAGATTTTGAGATGCTTGAGTTTGGATTGCACTTCCAAGCACACTTCCCACAATGCAGTGCTCAGAGTGAGCTATGGCTGGGTGGGCCCTCGGGCTGTCATATTGGGCCATTGTATCTAAAATCCTTTATTGTTATAGGGTTTTTGGAAGACTGTTACAGCACAATTGATAAATGAGCTGCTCTGTGAGGTTAGGATGTTGCATCTTAGAGTTTGTGCTGTCCAGCACTGGCATTAGTTTTCCTTCTTAGTAGGCATGGCAGGTTCGCTTTAAAGGCATCCTGTGCTGAGAGAAATATGGAAACTGCCAGTTTGGCCAACGTTTGAATTCTAAAAGCCTGGCTGTTTCACCAGCAAGTCACTTCACCAGAACAAGCTGTAAAACTTTTGTTTTGCCATGTATTAATGCCGGCAGCGTGAAGCTGGTTTAAGTTTTTTGTTCTGTTTTAAATGTGGCTTTATGCAAGAAGACTTCCCTCTGCAGGCCCATTCTGTGTGGACAGTATGGCAGTTTGCTGACTTGACAAAATCCACAGGCAGCGTCAACTCTCCTGCTTGGCATGTTACAAAGGATGTTTTCTGGGCTATAACGTACACTGGAGATTTCTAGTGCTGTGTGATAGATTTGAAAGTGGTCTTTGATGTTAGTTTACTTCTCTAACATAGGTAGGATATAGATAAGATGACTTTAAAGAGAAGATTTTAATGCAGCTCAGCAAATATTAAAGGAATTCACAAATGATTACAACATTCTAGGTAGAAAAGATCTCTAACAACCAATAAGAATGGGAGGTATCAAAAATGATTTTACAACTTGCTGGGAATTAATATTCTGCAGATGGCAATTTTCAGGAACAGTTATGAAAGTGTAACCTAAAAGGCAGCACAAAAATCCTAAAAAAAACAGGTTGCGTTCAAATTATTATTGTTTGTCCACTTACAATTTATTATAACTGAACTTTCATCAAATCTTCTAAAAATGTCTATGGTCGTAGGGCACATTTACACCTACCGTATGTGTGCACTACAGGGCGCATGGTAATGACCAAGCACACATAGGGGCGAGTAAGCCCATTACAGTTTCCCGGTAAAAACCCTTAAAGCTGCAATGCATAGATGTGAGCCAGCCACATAGAAAAGAATGGGATTTCCACTTTAAATGTATTTGCATGCTTTAAAATGTATTTTACCGGAGGAAAACGGGCAAGTGTGAATAAGCCCTTAATGTTCTTATAGATTGCAGACAAGGTTTGCTTTATCCCTCTGTTTCCAGTCCTGAGGGAATGTTTGTGGGACTGTATCTCTTACCCAATCAAACCAGACATCCCCTGGCCAAGCTTTATTCCGGGGGAGATTAAATTGACCAATCACCATTGTTTTCCCCTCAAGGAGACCGGCGCTAGGGGTGTCTAAGTGTGCTCTCTCTCCACCATTTGGTGCATGAATTGGCTGCCCGATCATGAATGTCTGTTATTTGCTTTAGCCGGCAAACTTCCACCTATATATTTCTTCTATACTTGTTATACTGTGTCTATCTCTCCTCGCTCATTGGCATATTGGTCCTATTGCTTCTACTTTCATTCTTTTCAGTTCTCTTTTTGCTCCAGCTACTCCCTCTCCCACCTCTTTCCTTTGATGTGTCTGTACATTAGAAAGTGGATAATTAAAGATTAGGAAGTAATCATTCCCTCCTTGGCGCAGTCCCCTCCCGAGGCCAGACTGATAATGATGCTAATCAGGTTGGGGTTTCTGGGGCCTGTGTTCTTACACTGCATTGCAACGGAATGTTACATGAGATTATTATAGCAATGATGAACCAATGTGACCCTGGTATGAGGACATATAATGTTCTAGAATGTGACAAGTTCAACAGGCAGTAACTGCGCTATAGACAACGCTCTCTGGATTTGTGCTGCCATAGAGGCCGTGGTGTAGACTGCAGAGATTGAAGCCATTGCCAAATCTATGGCCATGCATCAGGGACCAACTCAGACCCTTAATTAAATACATGTCCCCTTATACTGTATGCTTATCACATTTATGTTGCTAAAGCACTGTGTAGCATAAACAATTTCCCTATGTTTCATAAAATACTGTGTTCACCTCTATTTACATCTCAGTGCTACAGATCTCGTCCTGCCTTTTTCAGCCACTTCCTGTCTGCATGCACTCTCCCCATTGCCAGTTGCACATCCTTGCTCTGGACTGGCTACCTGATAGAGAGGAACATGACTGTGCCATGTGTGTTGGCACTGCTGCTATTAGACTCCAGCAGAGGTGCATGTGACTGGGTGACATAGCAAGAGCAGAAGTGGGAGACAGATGTCCCCCTATGACAGTTAGTGTTTTAACAAGGGCCATGATGGTAGGATCACCAGGTATTTTTTTTAATGAAAGCTGTATAATTAAAGAGATCAAGTTTTGAATTTAAAAGTATTATTAGATTTTCCGCACTTAGCTTTCCCACTTCCTTGAGTTTGAAGAGTTTACTCAAATGGCCTATAGTTTATGCAGGGTAGAAGCAGGTAAGAATGTGATACCAGATTTGCTAAAAGACTTGCAATACACCTGTATATATAACTGCATATATAACAGACCTGAGAAGTATTGTTTTGTCATAGCTAAAATTGTGTTTTTGTGTCGCCCTGGCCGGCAGGGTTGTGGATGGTGTATATGTGTTACCTAGGTTTCTAACACACACATGGTGAGAAGCTCCATTGTTGATGACTGTTAAGTAGAAAACAAACTTGATGTTTTCTTAGAATGCTAATAAGTTCTGCTCTGGTTCCCGGAGTGTGATACAGAGATTTGTGTTGGATAAAGCCACATCTTACCTGGCATCCAGACCTCATTTATAGTCTCAGCTATATGAGCTGTGGTGAGAGCCTGCTGCTGGGTGAAAAGGCTGAGTGCTGACAAAACACTGACAGGGTTATTCACAAAAGGGTGAAGAGTTTGGAGAAGGCAGGAGAAGTGAACAATCTAGGACAACATAGCTGATTTGGAAAAATTCTCCAATTCAGCTCACTTTCCAGTTCAGCTATGTTGTCCTAGATTGTTCACTTCTCCTGCCAAACTCTGCACCCTTTTGTGAATAGCCCTGTAAAAAGGTACCAGAGCTGCCTGTTTGTTTTGGGGAACCCATAAGGGAGCACCCTGTTAGTCAGGGGACTAACTTGAATTTAGTTAGTAGCTCAGACGAGAGGATGTTTTGTTTGTTTTATGCCATTGACTTACTGTACACAGCACTCCTGCATTGAAATCAATGTCACTATAGTGGCCGTCTCTGTTTCTTTTCTAAGAATATTTTCTTTATTGCAGGTGGAGCGTGAGATCGCAATTCTTAAGCTTATTGAACATCCGCATGTACTAAAGTTACATGATGTATATGAGAACAAGAAGTACCTGTAAGTCAATTGAATATATTATAATATATTATCTATATATAGTGACTTAGCTAACTTAGTACCCATTCACATTTGTGCAATATGAAGTGCTTTAGCCATCGCATGACAATTCACCACAAAATAAATCCTATGTTTTTCTATGGGGCCCTTCATACTCATGCAACACACTTACGTCTGACTTGGAAAATGTGCAGTCACTTCTCTTGGTGTGACAGTGTGTTTTTAGCCCCCTAGACTTCAATGGGAGCATATGGAAATGCAGGTAAAATGCATTTTTGGGTGATTTTGGTACATGACAACAAGCCCACACAACCTAGCATCCTATATTTTATTTCACCTTCATTGGCCAATACGCTTACAAATGTATAAAAATACAGACGCACAAACAGAGACATAGAATTTTCTTGTTAAACCTAAACTCCTCTCAGGGGCAAAACTTTGGCTGTGTATTCCTTTAAAGGAAAACTATGGGGTTAAGGCTTTTCCCCATAGTTCTCCTAAGGGTAACGGGAGGACACAAACTAGCGTCCTCCCGTCACCCTAAGCTCAGTATACCGCGAGCTACAGCTCGCGGTATACTGAGACGCCACAGTATACCGCGAGCTACTGCTCGCTGTATACTGAGACGCCGCAGCTGAAGCGGATCCCGACAATTATGTCTGGATCCGCCCAGCTGCATGAGTGACAGCTGGCTCTGCCTATCTAGAGGCAGAGCCAGCTGTACTCGCCCCCTCCCCCGTCCGTTCCGCCAGTCAGCGCTGGCGGATCGGGGAGGGGGGAATCCAGCCCCTCCCCTGTCACAGCTCTCTGCCGTGACAGGATGGAGAAGTGAGCGAACGCCGGTATGTGTTCGCTCACTTCCCGATCTACTGAGCCGACCTGTGACAGTCTCATTGTCACAGGTCGGCTAGAACTATAGCCAAACTCTGCACCCTTTTGTGAATAGCCCTGTAAAAAGGTACCAGAGCTGCCTGTTTGTTTTGGGGAACCCATAAGGGAGCACCCTGTTAGTCAGGGGACTAACTTGAATTTAGTTAGTAGCTCAGACGAGAGGATGTTTTGTTTGTTTTATGCCATTGACTTACTGTACACAGCACTCCTGCATTGAAATCAATGTCACTATAGTGGCCGTCTCTGTTTCTTTTCTAAGAATATTTTCTTTATTGCAGGTGGAGCGTGAGATCGCAATTCTTAAGCTTATTGAACATCCGCATGTACTAAAGTTACATGATGTATATGAGAACAAGAAGTACCTGTAAGTCAATTGAATATATTATAATATATTATCTATATATAGTGACTTAGCTAACTTAGTACCCATTCACATTTGTGCAATATGAAGTGCTTTAGCCATCGCATGACAATTCACCACAAAATAAATCCTATGTTTTTCTATGGGGCCCTTCATACTCATGCAACACACTTACGTCTGACTTGGAAAATGTGCAGTCACTTCTCTTGGTGTGACAGTGTGTTTTTAGCCCCCTAGACTTCAATGGGAGCATATGGAAATGCAGGTAAAATGCATTTTTGGGTGATTTTGGTACATGACAACAAGCCCACACAACCTAGCATCCTATATTTTATTTCACCTTCATTGGCCAATACGCTTACAAATGTATAAAAATACAGACGCACAAACAGAGACATAGAATTTTCTTGTTAAACCTAAACTCCTCTCAGGGGCAAAACTTTGGCTGTGTATTCCTTTAAAGGAAAACTATGGGGTTAAGGCTTTTCCCCATAGTTCTCCTAAGGGTAACGGGAGGACACAAACTAGCGTCCTCCCGTCACCCTAAGCTCAGTATACCGCGAGCTACAGCTCGCGGTATACTGAGACGCCACAGTATACCGCGAGCTACTGCTCGCTGTATACTGAGACGCCGCAGCTGAAGCGGATCCCGACAATTATGTCTGGATCCGCCCAGCTGCATGAGTGACAGCTGGCTCTGCCTATCTAGAGGCAGAGCCAGCTGTACTCGCCCCCTCCCCCGTCCGTTCCGCCAGTCAGCGCTGGCGGATCGGGGAGGGGGGAATCCAGCCCCTCCCCTGTCACAGCTCTCTGCCGTGACAGGATGGAGAAGTGAGCGAACGCCGGTATGTGTTCGCTCACTTCCCGATCTACTGAGCCGACCTGTGACAGTCTCATTGTCACAGGTCGGCTAGAACTATGAGGTGAGTGAAAAGCATGCCAGCCTGTCTAATAAAATATAATGCCAACACCATTCTTTGAGGTCTGCCAAAAAATATTCACACCTCACACGAATGGGCTGAAAACATTTATGTTGTATGACAGTTATGTTGCACATCCACCTTAAAGCACAATTCCTAATTACTTGAAGATGATGCTGAGTGACAGTGAAAATATATTCTAGCTTTATTCTATTAGAAGGAATACATTATTGTCTAGTTTTCTAATTTGGTTCCACTGTATTAGATTTTCATATTTTAGAGCCTTCTTGTGTTCCTGTTCCTTATACTTGCCGTACTCATTACAATCTGACTATGCAATCTTTGTACAAAAGGTTTACTAAAACTTTATCCTATGAGGATTTACTTAAACTATCCAATACATTTGTATCCATTTGGGTAGGCCTTTCTGCTACATGGTTGTTGGTAGATGTAAAGAAGATTGTACAATGAGATTGTAAATTGTGTGGTGAGCTTCAGGGCCCATTCACACCAATTGTGGTGTGTTTCAGAGCGGTAGCCATGCCCTCTCCTGCCCCTGAATGAAGGGGGAAGTTTAGTGAGAGATTGCTGTGCGTTCCAGCAGCTACCGCTCTGGAACACACTGCAATTGGTTTGAATGGGCCCTTAACACTTTCTTGTCTTTTACATAGGTACTTAGTCTTGGAGCATGTTTCTGGAGGAGAACTCTTTGACTACCTGGTGAAGAAGGGACGTCTTACCCCAAAGGAAGCACGAAAATTCTTCCGACAGATCATTTCAGCACTTGATTTCTGCCACAGTCATTCTATCTGGTGAGCAAACCCACCAGAGTATAGACTGGGTTATATCTCTTTGCTGGTCAAACTGAAGCAGATCTTTTACTAAGTACACCAGGCAGCGATAGATCTACCCATTCCCATTCTAATATCCGCATCTCCAGGAGAGGCCAAGGCTGGAACAATTTTCACATGCACGATGTGGGAGTTCCCTCTTCTTTTGAGGAACACATTTGTTAATCTGATAACCCCAACAAATTTTAGTTATAATATAAACCCTTGTTGCCACCTCCCGCCACCCCTTTAAGGGGTTCTGAACCCTGGGAGTCACAGATGGGCTTCCCGATCATGTGATTGAATGTCATGGTGGTCACATGATTGTGAGCCTGTCCCAACATCTTCTGATCGTAAACAGTGACCAAGAGCTGTCGGTGATGGCTCCATCACTATGCTGGGATCATGCAGCGAGCGTGTTCTTAGCATAGGACAACGGAACTGGCTGTACGCATATATGTGGCAGCTCTGTGTAAAGCCCCTTTCACACAGCCGCTCTTATTAGGCCCACCTGTCAGTCATTATTAATTACCTCTAATCCTAGCCTGTCATCGACCAGCAGTAGGGAATACTGGCCACCACCTAAGGAGAAGAGAAAGGACCAGATACATCACTGAACTTGACAGAAGACCCTTGAAAAAAGTTATACGTATAATATAATGTATACAATATACTGTATGTGTGTGTGTATATATATATATATATATATATATATATATTTATATATAC